GATCCTTTGGTTCACAAATTTTACAAAAAGATTAAGACTGGAGATTTAGCAGATACTCATCCATATTTAGTTGGAGAATCCGAGAGAGAATAAAAGATACTGTCACCTTTCTTAAATTTAATGAAAAAATTGTTTTTAAACTTTTAGAAATAATTTTTACTCGAAGTTTATTAATTTTTTACCTCAATTTATGTTTTTTATGACAATGATTTGAAAAAAGAGTGAAAAATCAAATAACCTAAAAATAATGTATATATTTCTTCCCTTTTTAGTATAACTTAAGTCACCTAAAACCATATTTTCAGTTTTGCAACAACAGCTTAAGTCGACTTAAGTTTGACGAAAATGCAAAAGTAATTTTTCACAAATCGCCTAAGTCGAGTTATGCTTTGCAAAGTGCTTTTTATAAATTTTGTATAACCGCCTATCTCACTTTTTTCATAATTATGAGAATACTATTAGTTGTTTTACTTCAGATTATGAGTTAATCGCTTCCTTTTTTAATTATCTTTCGATCAAAAAAAAAATTGGTTCAAAAAACTACATAACTTTTTTCAAAATTTAATTTAAAGTTTAAAATGCATTTATCTCGAAATCACTAAAACAGACTTAAGTCGTTTGTGCTTGAAGCCACTGATTTAATAAAGAAAGTGTTTTTGTATTTTCTCTTCTATTTGTCTTTTTTTTCTTGTCTTTTCTGGTTCTCTCTTTAAATAATATAAAATGCATTCTTTTAATATTTTGTTTACGTTCCATAATGATTTCATCCTTGATTTAAGTACTCTCAACACTTTATTTATGTTTCACAGCAAAAAAAAAAAGAAACAAAGAGGAATATGAAAATGAAACAAAAATAGAAAAATAGAATAAACCTAAGTTTAAAAATTGCATTTTGCATAGAAAAATATTATATATAGAGAGAGCAAGAGGGATAGAGAGGAAGAGAGAGAATAATAAAATATAGTTGAAGTTGTACAGTTGCGGAGTCTTTGTATTCTCTTAATTTTCTTTTTATTACTTATTCGCTGGTTTTATATAGCGGGTAAGTTATTCTATATAACAGTTAAGTTTCTGGGACAGATTTTACTGTTTTTTTTATGTCATCTACATACATTTGTGTGGGGAATTTAAAAAAGAAATCAAAAAAAATATGCAAATTGCAGATGCAACTTCAGAAACGTTTTATAATATTCGCTTACGTAAATTAAAAAAAAGGATAAAGTTTAAATAATAAAAAAAAAAATGGAAAAAGTAATCTACATAACCGCTATTTTTTTTTTTTCTCTCTCTCTCTAGCAATTTCTGTTTTTTATATTCAACGCTAATGTTATTGTTTTGGCATTTATGTCACAGTAAAATGTGCAATTAAAATAAAAAGAATAAAGTGAAATTTTTAGATTTTTTTTTTCTCTATTTTTGTTAAATGTAAACTAAGCTGGTATTTCTGGTTTTAAATTGTTCTATATGCATATTATATGTATAAATGTATGTGGGGAGTAATGCAACAGTTAAAGTAAAATATTTGAAAATAATTAAAGATCAAAAGAAAGTTTGGCTTACATTTTATGCCCAGAAGAAATTGTTCAAGTACATAAAAATTTTAGTAAACCAAGAGTTGACATGGTTGATATGTGACTGTTGATATGGTTGATATGATGGTTTAGTTGAAATTGGTTATAGTTCTGAATTACTATCCATAATTTTTTGAACAAGTTTGATAATATAATATGGAAAAAAATTTGATATTTTTCTCGAATTTGTTGAAAACAATTAAATTAAAATATAACCAAGAAACATGCCATAATATAGAGGAGCATGACATTACGAATATTTCTGGTTTTGAGATAAAATTAACTATTAAACAGTAAAAATTTCGAAAACGAAATTTGAAAATTTCATTTAAAATTTAAGCAAAGTCTTTTTTAAAAAAATGGTCTTTTGAACTTTTTATACCGATACGAACTTATGTTCGAAGGGTATACTAAATTTGCCTTACCGTTTGTAACGCTAAGAAGTAACGGTCTTAGATATAGACTCAAGTGTATGTTTTTGATCAGCGTCGAATTCTGAATTGATTTAGCTTTGTTTGTCCGTCCGTCCGTCCGTCTGTCTGTCCGCCTGCCCGTCCGGCCCAGCGATAACTCAAAAACTAATTGAGCTAAGTTCACCAAATTTTCACAAATGATTAATTGTAGTAAGTGCCAGAACCCAATTTAAATTGGGTATGACCGGGGTACCGGTTCGAGTAGCTGCCATACAACTTAAAAATTTATTTGGCTATATCTTAGAAACTATAAAAGCTACGGTATTGAAATTTCACACAAGCGAATATATTAGTAGGGCCGATGTTCTTGATAAAATTCGTTGAAATTGCTTGGCTCTTTCTGGTAGCTGCCATACAACTTCAGTAGTAGTTTGGCACACACTGTATTTTGAAAAACACTGTACTGAAATTAATATGGTAATACGGCAACTTTAAGTCATAGTCTGTCCCATAGTCAGTTACAGCATATATGTTTGCACATAGGATAACAAATTCGTACGGGTATTACAAAGGTCAACTCTATTTTTTCTCGTTTTTTCTTGAAGCGCTACATCCTCTACTAGAACATAACTTTCATGGAATGCATGCCGTTTTGCAGGCAAAATGACAATTTATGTATATACTTTTTGGAACCCTATAAAAAGTAAATATAAAATAAAAGGTTTAAGTACATCCTAACCCCCTCCCATATGATTTTTTTTCAAAAAAACTTCAAGAAATCAGCCGCCGAGCACGTTTATCCCAAAACCTAAAATTGAAATAATTAATAACACCTAAAATTGAATTAAATTCCAAAAAATTCAAATTTTTGAAATCCTCTACAAAGTTTAATTTTTTCTCTAAATTATGAAGAATTAATTCATAATCTGACATATTCACAAGTTATACTAAAAGAAGCTCTCACTTTCTCTAATATCAAATTGCATAAATTCTTAGAAAATTACTATAAAAAGTAGCATATCAACAGGGGTTTGAATAATTAGTTATTCTAAAATAAATTTTTATTTTATAACTTTTTAAAATGTTCTAAACTTATTGTAGGTTTATTTATAAAAGAACCTTAAAAACAAAATCCTTAAATAGAAAATTTTTAGCAGACTTTCATTGTTGTTGTTATTGTTGTTTATAAAAAAATAATTCTTTCCCTTTCACTTTTAATAATTTTTTTATTTTCTGTTTTTCTTTTTTGTATTTATGATTTAAACAAACAATTAAACATAATACACATTAAAATATGCTTTTATATTTTATATAGAAAAAAGTTAAGACAAAGAACAAAATCCAAAAAGAAAAAACAAAATTTTTAAAGATGATTTTCCATCAGCAAACAGGAAATTTCTGTCATGTGGAAATACAGAAATTAAAAAAGTTTCTCCTTTTTTCTAAAAAAAAAGAGAGAATATAAAAAACTAAGAAAAAACAAAGTTCTTAACACAAAAATTTTCTATTTTGCCAACACTATGCTGGTTTCTTCCCTTACCAAAATATTAATAATATTGTAAAAATAAAAGAAAACGAGAAAAAATAGTGTTGATCATGTGACCTATGTGATACCCTAACGAACTTGTTATCCTATGGAAAAACAAATATGTCATAGTTGACTATGTGACAGACTGTATGACTTTGCCGAAAGTTCGGCACCGAATAAGAATATACATATATGCACATCTATATCACACACTTTTATTTTTTAGCATTACTAACGGAAACACGAATTTATAGTACCCTTCAAATATTAATTCAAACGAAAATAATAGTTCCCGTATTACAATATTAATTTATACAACATTCCAGTTCAGTCATTGAAATTGTTTTTAAGATATGACCAAAAAACTATTGATGTTGTATACTACTATGGCAACTACCACAAGGAGTCAAAAAATCTCAACGATTTCTATAACACATAACAGCCCAAAAATCAATAGTGTAATAATTTCTGAGATATAGCCAAATAACCTTTGAAGTTGTAGCGCAGCTATCCGAACCACAGCCTCGATCGCATCCAATTTAAACAGGGTTCTTACATTTACTATATTAAACTATTTGTGAAAATTTGGTGGATTTAGTTCAATTCGCTTTTGTGTTATCGTTGGAACTGGTGGACTCAGAATTCGATGCTGCTCAAAGACATAGGCTTGTGTGTACATCTCAGACTGTATTTCTTAGCGTTACAAACGGTAAGACAAATTACGATACCCTTCGAACACACATTCGTGCTTGTATAAAGAAAAAATAAGGGAGAAAAGTAGAACGATAAGGTTTTGTAATTTTTTTTATGTTTTAGGTGTAGTTGTGCAGTACGTAATGTATGCAAAAAAAAAGTTAAAAAAGTTAAGAATTTTTTAACAATTTACCATAATGAATGAACATACATACAGAGAGTTTTAAGAACTTTTTAGAATTTCAAAAATTTTGCTTCAAAATGTTAACAATAGATGGAACTTAAAAATATTGTACCTACGGTTTATTTGTCATACAACGTAAAATATTTTCAATTTAAATTTGAGAATAATTGACTTTAATGCCAAAAATCCTGAAAGCTCAATATGATTATTGTCGAGATGCTTCAGTTAAAGGACCGATGCCATAACCACTGCACCAATAGTCAGGTTATAATAAGCTTTCGTTTTGTGTAATTAATAAAATGACCTTGCTGGCGATGGCCGTGCTGGTGATAATAAGTAAAACCCATAATTCTAAATTTACTTGAGGAAGGGAATTGTTTGCTTTCCCCTAAATACTAATAAAAATTATTTAAGTTTACAATAAATTTCATGGAAATAAAAATTTTTCTTAAAGAATGCTTTGCACACATTTGCAGAATTTTAATCGAATGAATTTTAATGCAAGTTTTATAATAAAATTTTATATGTATAAAAATATTTAAGTTTATGGTTAAAAAAGAAACAAACAAATTTAAAATGAAAAATAATATAATTCAAAAATTTGTACTTACATCTAGATTTTCAGGTAAACCAGGCGGACCCGGTGGACCAGCTGGTCCTGGTACACCAGGTGTTCCATCTAAACCTGGTTCACCTTTATTTCCTTGTAAACCCTCAGGTCCACGAGGTCCAGGATCGCCCCTTTCGCCGCGGTCACCTTTAGGACCGGGGGCACCGCGTTCACCTGAAACCCCAGTGGCACCCTGAAAATTAAACATAAAAAAAATTAAAATTAGTTATTGTCAATTCTAAGTCATTTTTAGTAAATAAATTCTTGGTATATGCGAAAATTGAAGTAAAATTAGTCAAATTCAAATTAAGTAAGCGACTAATGTAATTAATAAACTACGACAATAATCTCATAGCAAGTTTGATTCTTTGTTTAAAAAATAATAAATCTTTTCGCATAACCTAATTATTACACTTTATTTTTTTGATTATTGAAAATGTGAACTTACCGTGAGTCCAGGAGCACCAGTTTTTCCTTCTTTACCCGGTAAACCAGGTGGCCCTCGTATTGTTTCTCTGACGGATTCATTTTCTTTAATTAATTCTAAAAGCGTCGTTGCATTGCATCCACATTTTGCCGATCCCTGAAAATTTAAAAATAAAAAAGTGAGTTCAAAAACGAGTTGAATAAAATTATTTTAAGTATATCAAATAATTTGCATGAGTAATTTAATTTAGAGGTTTCGCCAAAACATTCTTTACAAAATTAATCAAAATATTTAAACCTACAATAAAATGTCAATTACGTTGCCACAGGACAACAATTTTGTCCTTCATAATTTAAAAATATATTCAACATTTTTCTTATATTTTTAAATTGTTTTGAGATTTTTGTAAGCTTTATCCTAATTTTATAATTTCAATGACATGAAAACATAAAATTATTTTTACCGCTACTTAAATGAGAATAAAAAAATTTCGTTGTTCTCTTTTCTCTCATCCTCATTCTTGTTCTTTATGCTATCTGGCTAAAAATTTTTTTTTTTACTAATTTGAAAAATTAATATTTCTTAACGGGTCAGATATCGTAACAAAAAAATAATAAGAATAAATCTACATAAGTAATCTGCTTTTGTACGGACATGAGTTCCTTTAATCCTATAATTTTTTTTAACAAATACGGAAATATTAGAAATTAAGTCTTTTGGCACGTATTCTTTTAGTTCCATTTAAGAAAAAAAAAAAAATTAAATAAATTATTTTGGTATTGGGAAGCAGATAATTCTAAGATAATTGGTCAAAATAATTGCCATAAATTCACGGAAAAAGAAGCTTATACTCTGTGTTTACAATTTAGAATTGTAAGAAATTTGTTTTCTGGATAGTAATTATCTTGATTTAAGTTAGAGATTTTTAGAGGTAAATATTAGAATAAAAAATGAATTGGTTATGCGGCTGATTCCTCCCAAATTGGTTATAATGAAAGGATAATAAGTCTAGTTATTAAAAATAAGGGTACGTAGAAAATGTTTTCTTTTTTTTGATTTGAAAGTTTTTTCTAGTTAAAATTGCAATTTTAGTATCAGTACACTAATATATAAGTGAGATTTCAAATGAAAGTTAATATGATTTTTTGAAATTTTTTCGGAGCAGGCCGAAACAACGACCACGAACTGCTAATAGGCGATATCAGACTAAAAATTAAAAGAAAGGGACAGTACAATATCAGAAATAGACGCTTCTATAAAGAGAAATCCAAAGCCGCCTAACTGCAAACAGATGCTGTTTACAGTAAACTGCAAGAAAATTAGCCATTTCACGAGGAGTACCCTTGGGAAGATATCGTGACTTTGATTCAAAAAACTGCTTAGGAAAACTAGGTGTAGAAAAACTCCAACACAAAACATGAATCTCTGACGGGACTTTGGTCCACAGCAATAAAAGGAGAAACGAGAATCAGCTGGAAATCCTCCAAGCAGGATTAAGGAAAAGAAAAGGCATCAAAATTCAACGATAAAATTTTTATTTTCTTAAAATTTTTTAAATAATCTAACTTCCAATTTTTGCTTTGGAATGAAGGAAATTTTATTCAATGAAATTTTTTTTCATATTTGATTTCAAAAGAAAACTATTATCAAAAAAACCAACTTTAAAATTATTACAGAATTCCTTCCGTATTACTTAAAAAAAAAAAACTTACAAAATACTTTAAGTAATTATCCGCACAATTAAATGGAATTCCGAAAATTATATTAACATACTTATTTTAATTTTCTATTTAAGTAGTTTTGTGGTAAAGAATTTCTTTTTACCCAAAAATGTCGAAGAGAATTGAAATTTTTATCACCATCATCATCAAATAATGATTTTCTTTTATTTTTTCTTTAATAATTTTCTATACACGTATACATACATATATACCTTTTTTATTAACCTTTATTTACGTTTCATTACTAAATATTTGAGGCAAAAGTCTGTGGCCACAGAAAATTATAATACCGTTATTAATAAAATTCTATATAATTAAAGTGTATTTGTATGTGTTCATAAGTTCATTAAAATTTTATGAATTGTTACACGAAGTAGAAAAAAATTTCCGGTTATTATAACCGTCGTCTTGATTGTTTCAGAATATAGTTTAACAATTTAGGGCAAATGTTAGTACACAAAATTTTTTATTGTTAACTTTGCGAATAATATTAGCAGAAAATGTACTTTTGCTTTTAGATTTTACAAGAGATGTAGTAAAACAATGAAAATAAATGTTTATATTTTGACTAAATAATTCATGGAAGCCGTGGTTTCATGGAAGAAGAAGGTAGTCGACAGAAAAGCAGGGACTATATAAACAGGCGCAAAAGGAAAGCTATACACCAACTTGAGTGTAACCTGAGGCAATTGGAACGCTATAAACGCCCGCCTTCAGTCCGAGAATCACTAAACAGTACGGTTTTTTTACCCTCTTTCTAAGTTGACAATCAAACAGATCTCTATTGCATGTATTTCGACCTGAAATATCGCACAATATAGGTCCAAACTCGTATAAAATCCAGTTTTGAACCCATCCGTATACAACATGCTAGAACCCGACTCAAATTCCTCACTTTTCTTCACTATATATGGTGGCTACCCAATAATTTTCTCCAGCTCAGGCATAGGAGTCCTCTGTATATGTGCAATGGGCTATTTGTAAATTAATACAATTTCAAAGAATTAATTAGCTATAGCAATTTAGTTATTATTTTATATTAGTAAACAAAATTCAATTGATCGTTTAAACCGACCAAAAACTTATTTAATCTTAATTGGACCTAAATTGAAATTTATGGAATTTATATAGCCACCTATTATTTTCTCTTTTTTTTTTTTTTGTATTTTCGTACCTCTTACTTTGATTTTATTCATCATTTTTTATTGGTAATAGTTCCATTGAATTTATTAAAAAGCCGGATATATTAACAACTAAAACACTATTACCTGTTCTTAATAATCAAACGGAACATTATATGAGAGTCTATACCCTCTAATAACGGCAAATAAGAGCTTTATACACATAGTATATTTATTTGAATATTTAATCTGCACACAGAAATAAAAATATTTTATATATATGTATACATATATATATATATATACATATATATATATATATAATATAATAATGTGTATAAATGTGTTTATAACTTTCAATATAACATTTTTTCATTCAATTAGGTAATATAGGCACAGTTAATTACTTTACCACCATCGCACTTCTGAATATTTACATTGTGAAGCACAACGGTTTCTCACTTACTTAAAAGGAAAATTCCAATTAAAATTTTCTAATAATATTTAATGTCGAAAAAAAAATTAAAAAAAAAAGAAAATTTCGCTCATTTATTATTTTTCTTCTTTCCTTTTCATTAAAATAATTTTTGCAAAAAATAACACTGATGAATGAAGAAAGCCATTGCGTCGCGGTATTTTGATAAATTTATGCGATTGTATGTGTTATCCTCCTTTGAAAATTTCCTCTACTTTTTAAATTGTGTGGTAAATCTTTCAATGAATTATATGTATGTATGTGTTGTAAAGGTATATATTAATTTTAAAAAGGAGTAAATTTTAATAATAGATTCTATTAAGTGTGTTGAACACTATGAATATTAAATAATAATAATGGGTTTTTGTTTTTACTTTTAATAATAATAATATGGTGACTGAACTTCATAATTATTAAAATAAATCTACTATGTTTTCATGAAAACAAGCTGAAATAATAAAAGCAAAACCGAAATAGCACGCCGATAATAATCATAGAAAGGGTTTGAGATTATCCTTTGAACTAACACAAATTTATTGTATCTTTTCACATTCTAAAAGAAAATATTTCACCATTTTTAGAAAGGTAAATTGATAAATGGCATAACCGGAAAATTTTATTAAATATCGTGTATATGCAGTTAAGTGTGGAGACCGCAATAACTTAAAATTAAATCCGAAAGCAATTAAAGAACCTATTTTTAATATTTAGTGATAATTATAGTGTGGTAATAGTGAAAATATTCTACAAACTATATGATTAATTGAATTTTAAAATTCAATTTTGTGTGTGCGCTGAATTGAAGAAATTTTCATTTAAATTTTAGAAATCAATCAGTTTTAAATATTGTGGTTGCAATTAGCACTAATAAAATAATTAAATTTACTTGAAAAAGCCTTAAAAACTAAGAGTAATTTTAAAACTGAATAATAAAAGTAAATTTTGGCTTTACTAAAATTGAAATGCCCGTTGGCCCATTCGCTTCTTCATTTCTGAATGACCTTTTCAATAATAAATTGACTGTCAGACAGGTATAACAATACATAGATTCAGAATTTGGTTCTGGGGAAGATCATTTACGGTTGTACAAACGTTATGAAACATTAATTAAATTAGACATAAAAATTATCAAAAAATTACAGCAATACAACAATCTTATAATATAAATTAAAAAAAAAAATACTCACCCCATTATTTGAATTTCCTACATCTACATACGGTGGATAAGGACCAGGTTCACCTTTTGGTCCCGGTGGACCAGGTGGACCTGGTGGCCCTCGTATACTATCACCCGGTGGTCCTTTAAGACCACGTTCACCCTTTTCACCTTTCATACCCATACGATACACTAAAAATAGAAAATAAATTTAAATATTAAATAATTTTATAGAATATTGGAAATATTTAAATTATTTAATAATATTGTAAATTCTTAAAGTACACTAAAAATTTTCATAAAATCCATTATGAAAGTATTTCTATATTTAAAATGAATCTCCCATATAACATAGTTTTTGAATAAATTGTAATAAATCAAGATTATAAAATATTAAATTAAATCGGATTAGTTTGAGTTAAATTAAGAATTTGCTTAAGATTTTTGTTATTGTTACCGACCGCATTGCATACAATAAGGGAGGTTATGTGATGGCACCAAAGTTTGCATATCGAGTTTCCGGCTAAAACACATTTCTCCATGGAAGAGAAGCGTATATTAAATTAGCTGTATTTTTAGCAAAATATAGATCTCTCGATCTATGTATGCACGCGTGTATTTCAAGTTCGGCAGAACTGATTTAAATGAAAGGAGAGGCATTTTCATAATCTTCTGTAACACTGTCGGTAAACTAAACAATACACACTACGATCGGCTATGGTCTAGCGACATCAGATTTTTTAATTTTTTATCATTCATTCATGTTGTGTACAAACTGCTTGCCCTCTTGATTCCAATTCAATACATAGTGATAGAGGAATTATAAAGAAAATTAAATTTATTTGCAAAAATTTGAAATTTAATAAAATTAATAGCTCATTTAAAAAGATTAATTTTAATTTTATTACCAGAAATTTTACATTAAACCCTAATTTAATACAAAGATGAAAAAATCAATATAAAATAATTTTAATAGGAAAATTTCAATTTTAAATATTAAAAACGCAAGTCTAATTTATTACATTCATTCAAAAATGTAATTTAATATATTAATTTTTGACACTCTACGAAAATTTCATAAAATCGATGCGTGTACCCTACACAGATCTGCACAATAGAATATGAGAATTACAGTAGATAATTATACAAACGCATTTACATATAGAAGCTGTAAAACTAGAAATACTCGTATATATGTGGTAATATATACACAAAAGCTAAATTAAGAATAATTATACGCCATTAACGTTCTTCTTCTCTATAATACAATAAAATATTTCCGCTTTAATGTTTGATGGTTTCAATATAATGAAATAATTCATATATATAAAGCTTTAATTAGAGACATTATTAAAATATTTATTATGATATCCTTTCTTTGTTGTATATATATATATACATGAGTTATTTAATATACTTGTAAAATATATGAATTTATAGAGAATTTCACCTGTTTCACTAATTAGAAATTCTTATTCTAATATATAACGCATGCCATCATAATAAAATCAAATGCATGCATTGATCCATTCATTAATTAAGCGTAATATTCAGAAAATTTAATTTTTTGATTGTCAATAAAATATATATTGCTGATGGATGATAATATTAAATTTTAGATGAAAATACATACACAGCATATAGCATATATCTAGGAGTAAAAATTGTTAAATGATTGAACACATACCGTTATGTTGAATGTGCACATTTTGATTATGCGAAATATTATAATGAAAATGTCAAGGCTTTATTTTATGGCTTAATGAATTATTATTGTAGGTATAACAAACAGTTCCTATAAATACACTTATAATATATTTAATATAATATTGGAATTCATTATAGATTTTACAAAGTACATAGAAATTATGTTAGAAATATTCCAAGTATTTTTTATTTAAAATGATGGTATTTAACTTTGAAATTAAGAATTGGTGTCCCAATTTGCTAATATAAGTATGTCCAAAGTTTTTAAGAATTTAAACAATATTCCAAGGATATTTCCAAGGATACGTCACATAACAATATTTCAGCAAGCTCTTCAAAATTTCCCGAATTCATTTTACTTTTTCGGGCTATTTGTCGAACAAGCAGGCTTTCCAAATCAAGCCAAACACAAGTGTGACACATTCTAAAAAGTCTCATGACAATTGAATGATTAAAGTAGCATTGATTTAAGAAGATGCTTACATACATCAGTTTTTTAATATAAATATAAAATACCCGCATATTACTTTTGTAATATAAAAAATGTGGGTAAAATACCCACATTTTTTGTTTAAGTTGTCGATACCTTACCGTATGTATTAAAATAACCAATTTTTTATTTTTGTTTTTGTCTTCTTTGTAGTCAGCAAAGTCCACACAAATAATTTTTATAAAACACCCAAAAAACCAATGTCACGTAATATTAGATAATGTTAAAGTGAACAGAGAGGACAAAGACAAACCGAGAGAAAATAAAAAAAATAAAAAAAAACTAAACAAATTGCATTGGAATCGGAACGTGAGGCAGAAATCAACACGTTTTAGCATTCATATTTATTATACGTAGATGTAGTGTATAAATATGTAAAGTCAAATATAGGCTTATATGTATAATCTGAGTTTTGGTAAGGGTGCTAATTACATACCTACTTTACTTTATCTATTTCGTATTTTTGTAACTGTTTTACACATACTCTTTTTATCTATAACTTTTACTCATTTTAGGAGGAAAGATAAGAGAACGAAAGAAAATGAGGGAGCAAGAAAAATTAAGTATAACAGAATTATTTTAAAGAGTAGCCCTGTTTTAATGAACTTTAATTTTTCCTTTTCTCAAATTAATGGGGGGGGGGGGGGTATACTGGCTAACGCGAACGGAGTCTCTCTGATACCGAGTCACCTCAGAGAGTATTTTTGACCTTACTACGTCATGCGGGCTCTGGCGTACCGGACTACCTTTTCCCTAGCTACTCGTGGGACCAAAACATGAATGGCACACAAAAAACGAAAATAGAAAAATCGATACGACGGGAAAACACCGTCATGGTCCGAGAGCAACCGGCCATAACAAAAAAGGAGAAGGTTACAAGAAGAAAGCCCTCCTATCTGCCATCACTGAGTCAGCCTGGAGGCTTGGATGATCCGAGGAGACGAGGACTCAGAAAAGAAGAGAGGAGGCGATAATCGCTAGAGGAGGCGATAATCGACGAGGTAGCCAAGGGCTGGGATAACATCATCCAGTTTGAAGGAATACACTTCAGGCCCGGGATGGTACTCGTCGATTGTGCAGATGAAGAGACAGCTGAATGGCTGATCAAGCGAGCGCCAGCTTTGGGTACATGGAGCGGACCAGAATTGATGGCAAGGAAGGGAGATGACATCCTTAAGCCTTGTGTAATCACTGTCTTCGTTCCCAAGAGAGGGGGCCAAGTTGGGAAAAAAGCTGGCCACCTTCCAGGTCCAAAACGGGGGAATACACACCCGGGTCTGGAAGCTGATGTGGTAGCGAGAGGACGGTGGCGGAAAGGTTCTCCGAATATGGATCGATAACTCTTCCGCGGAAGCCAACAGGCGGGGCGGTCACATTCTGCGGTACCGGTTCGGAAAAATTCCTGTACACGGGCTCAGAATGGGGCAGCCCGAAAGAACGGGGTTGGCAAAATCCTCGGCGTGCGTCCTCTTTCATTAACGACGGAGGAGATGGTGGAGGACCTGGAGCTAACCTTTCTAAGTCTTAGGGAGTCCTTCCTAGAAAATGACGTCCCGATGACAGGGGAAGATCACCCTGCTAGGCAACTCAACAAATGAGGGACGAAGGCACCAGGGTCGTCCAGGTGAATGTCCACCACGGATCGTCATTTACCCACGAGGTGTATGTTCGCTTCGACTGTTCTGGCAAGGATGTTCACCAAGGAACATCTAGGCATAGCCATGATACAGGAGCCCTTTGTATACAGGCACATCAGGGCACATCAAAGGACTGTCAATTAGGGATGCGCAGGTAGTATGGGATTATGGGCAGGACCGACCCGGAACCTGCATTCAAATTAGAAAAAATATTAACTTTATTTTACTTTCAGAGTACATGACAAGAGACATCACACCTGTCAAGGCCCGCATTAATGTTGGGGCCAGGACTTGGAGATAGTGTACATCCATCATCAACGTACTTTCCGGGGAATGGAGCATCTCCTCCGCCACCGGAGGTACGAAGGCTTGAGGAGCAGTGCAATAGGAAGAGGTAGCCACACATCATGGGCTGTGATGCGAATGCGCATCACGTTGCATGGAGGAGCAGCCACACCAATACTAGAGGAGAGTCCTTATTAGAATTAGTCGTTAAAGAAAACCTAGAAATATTTAATGTAGGGAATGCCCCAACTTTTATAACTAGGGCTAGAGAGGAGGCAGTCCGAATGTGGGGTTTCTGGTACGCGACTGGAAGGTATCGGAGGAGGTTTCTATGTCAGATCATAGAATCATCCGGTTTTGTCTGGGTGGGTTGATGGAGGAGAAATCTTCCTTCAGAAATCCGAGGCGGACAAACTGGGAGGGATACAGAAGGGACCTGAAGGCAAGCACAGCCTTCCCTGGTGTTGGAAAGGGCTGTGGAGGAGCTCGGCGGAATTATGGTCGAGGCTTTTGAATCGAACTGCCCCATTAGTGTACCAAGGGATTTCACAGATGTACCTTGGGGGACCCCGAGATTGAAAAACCTGAGGATCGGGGTTCGTAGGCTTTTCAATAAAGCTAAGCGAGAAGGTACTTGGGAAGAGTACAAGATGAACTTAACAGCCTACAGCAAGTAGATACGCAGGGCTAAGCGGAGAAGCCTTAGATCACTCTGCGGGAGCATAGCGGACACGCCGGCGGCTGCGAGGCTGCATAGGGCCCTGGCTAAAGACAGGGTGCAAGTGAGGGATCCGTGGCAATGCAGGACACCACGTCCTGAGGATTGGCGGAGAGCTGCGCGCATAATTACGGAGGAAAGGATAAGGTGGGCTGTTGGCACTTTCCAGCACTTCAAGGCGTCGAGAGTGGATGGGATTTCACCAGCACTTCTGCAACGGGGGTTGGAGCCAATTATGCCTTTCTTAATAACAATATTTAGCAGTAGCTTGGCTCTCGGATACATTTCCTAGTCCTGGCGGGTTTCTGGGGTTGTCTTTATTACCAAAGTGGGAAGAAGGGACATGGTGCCCAAGTCATTCGGACCGATTAGCCTCACTTTGTTCTTGTTGAAAACGATGGAGAAAATAGTTGATAACTATGTCCGGTCGGAGGTGCTGGCGAGGAGGCCGCTGAGCGATTGCCAGCATGCGTATCGGGCAGGGAGGTCGACAGAGACCGCTCTGTTTCGCCTTGCCAGTACCCTAGAAAGCACAATAGAACAGGGAGAGGTGGCGCTATGCACGTTCCTGAATATCGAGGGGGCCTTCGACAACACTTTTCATGAGGCAATTGCGGGCGTCCTGAGGCGTAGGGACGTGGATGATGGCACCTCTCTATGGATGTCCAATATGTTGGCTACGAGAGTTGCAGAGACTGCTGTGGGGCAGAGAACCCTAAGGATGCGCGTGGAGTTTAGTGGTGGATGAACTCCTTGATGAGCTGCTTCATCAGGGAATTGGTGTCCAGGCTTATGCCGATGATGTAGTCATCATCGCTAGAGGTAAGTTTGAGGGGACTCTTTCTGATATAGTCCAAAGGGGATCGCGGGTGAAACGGGCCTGGTGCGATACTGTTGGCCTCAGGCTTAGCCCTAACAAGACGGCCCTGGTGCCTTTCACTAGGAGAAGGAAGCTGGAGCATCTTCGCACAATATACGTGTGCGGAGCGGCTGTAGAGAGAAAATCGAAGGTCAAATACTTAGGAGTGGTGTTTGATTCCAGGCTTCTTTGGCGAAGTCACGAGGAAGCTGTGTGTACACGGGCCACCCGGGCACTTATGATTTGCAGGGCAGGTTATGGGGCGGCTCCCCGACTGTCATGTTGTGGATGTATGATGGTCGTGCCGCTCCTAGCTTATGGAGCAGTGACATGGGCAAGAAGGGTATCTCTTGGTACGGCTAGAAGCAGAGACTCGGATGGGTCTGCATCACAGGGGCTATGAAAACTTGTCTAACGACAGCAATAGAGGTGATTTTTGGACTAACCCCCTTGCACCTTGTTGTGGAGATGGCAGCGAAGGCTGCCATTTTCAGATTGAGGAGAAATGGAGCCGGAATAATCGGTGCGAGAGATCGGAGTCGTCTTGTCGGGGAGGTTCCACTCCTCCCGATACCTCGGGACGACATGGTAAGGAGGTACAGCTTCGAGAAAAATTTTGCCTCGTTGCTGAGTAACAGAAGGGACTGGGAGCGTGACTTTTCGGGCCACCCAGTTGGAACACACGTTATTAGATGGTACGCAGATGGGTCAAAGACCAGTATTGGGACGTGTGCGAGGGTATTTGGGCCAAGGACCAAATTCTCCGAACCTATGGGAAGTTTTCCGAGTTTGTTTCGGGCTGAGTTGCCATTGAAGTGTGCGTGCGCTTAAGCCTGGAAAGGGGGTATCGGGGACAAGAAATAATGATTATGCCGGATAGCCCGGCTACGATCGGAGCGCTGAACTCGTTTTCAGTATCCTCCGTGGCAGTATGGGGCTGCCTTGAGAAGCTCAATGAGTTAGGCAGATGCAACCGGGTCACACTGTGTAGGGTGTCGGGCCCTGTGGGCGTGGAAGGAAATGAGGCCGCTGATGCGCTTGCGAAAAAGGAGACAAACACACCTCTTCTTGGGCCGGAGCCCTTCTGCGGAATCGGACCACATACTATTCGTTGGGAATTAAGGAACGAATCAGAAAGAAGGCGGTCGGAGCGCTGGAGAAGTCTCTATAAGAAACTTATATGGATGCGCAAGAACCATTTGAGAGTCCTCACCGGTACGACAGGTCACTGCAGGCTTAGGACACACTTCAGTCGGCAGGGCCTGAAAAATGAGGATACTTGCAGATTTTATTGGGAGCATGGAGAGACCTCGGTGCACCTCCTGGGGGAGTTTGATGCTCTTGCTCGTAGGAGGGGGGGAGGTGCTCTGAGAGTTTGCTCTAGCGGTGGCGGAGTTACGGTCTTCTGGTCCTCACAAGTTGCTTGATGCCCCGCACTCGGATGAGGGCGCACAATAGATCCTTATACGTGGTCGCGGTGCACTGTTGCCCCCTTATACAAATCTACAATCTACAAAGGGCAGCATGCCATTAAAAATTATGTGTTCATGTGAGACACATACTCACATGAAAAAAACAAATTCATCCCCTCTAGTCTCTACCTCTAAAATTTTTCCGACAACACCTTTCTTTCTGTTTTTGGTTGATTTTCCTTTTTTAATTCATTTTTATTTTAATAATTTCGGATGTTTTAATATCGTCGTTGTATAATAGTTGTGGTAATATCTTTTAGCAATTAACGGTTTTCGTTCAACACATACTTAAAAGAAAATGAAAAAAAATCCAAAAATGAAAGCAAAGTTTTTCGGTTCTTCTTTTTCTATGTAACAACACACAACTTTTTTAATAATCACTTTTAGCAAGCAATTCAAACTTTTGTTAAAATTGTTATTAAACAAGAACGAAAAAAAAATATTTTGAGGTTATGTTCTGTTATTTTAAAGCTTTCCCGCATATTGTCTAAGGGAAATTTTTTTGGTTTAATCAGTTTAGAAAAACAGAAATGCTAATAAGTGACTTTTAAAATTTTTTTTCCTTTTCCTTTAGGGAAATAGGAATAAGATAGAAAAAAAATATTTCGGAAGTTGTGGTTATAACTTTAATTAAAAAGAAAAATTCTAATAATTAGTTCAGTTGTTCAAGTGTTTGAGTCCAAGGAAACGGAAGAAAAAACTTTTAAACTTAAAATTTGAATTTATAAAATCGAAGATTTTTGAAGATTTTTTCTATGGTTTCGAAGATTTTTTCCATGGTTTTCCTCAAATTTTACTGAATATTTTCATATTATTACTAGGCAATATTTATATTGTTAGGACACGGGGTTGGGTAAGGCCTCACTTATTACGTTGTTACTACATATAAGATTTTCGAAAGGTATTATAATTAGCCAATAGGATAACAAGTCCTATCGAATTTAACGTCCCGGCTTTCATGTGCTTCGTAGATCTTGTCAAGGCTTTCGATCGAGTAAGATTGCAAGACGTACTAAACATCCTTCATGAAAAAAATGTGCCTTTAGATGTAATAGAAGTTGTTAAAGATTTAAATACTGAATGCAAAACTAGAATACAGGTTGATGGAAAATTGGGAGACGAAATCAACTGCAAGACAGGTATCCGTCAAGGAGATTCAATAAGCCCTATATTATTTAATCTCGTTATGGATAAAATAATCGAAGAGGTGGACAACCTAACGGGCTATCAAATGGGTGATAATAATATATCAATTGTGTGCTATGCAGATGATGCAATCCTGATCGCCAAAACAGAAAATGATCTACAAAGGCTTCTTCATAAATTCGTCGTTACTGCAAAAAAGTACAATATGGAGGTCTCGATAAAAAAAAACAAAATCTTTAGTTATTTCCAAGGAACCTATTAGATGTAAACTCGAAATAGAAACAAAAATGATTGAACAAGTAATGAAGTTTAAATATCTGGGGGTTGAAATAACAAGTGAACGCAACACGGTAAGAGAAGTAAGAGAAAGCAGTATGAGAGGAGCACGTGTATCAGGTTTCTTGGCCGATACTGTATGGAGAAATAAATGTTTGGGCGTCAAAAGCAAAACAAAGATTATATATCTTTATATATATACGGTTGTCAGACCTATACTTACGTATGATTCTGAAACTAGAGCTGAAACGAGTACAACAAAACAGCTACTACGTACGGCGGAGATGAATACTCTAAGAGCAATTGTAGGAAAGACCAGACTAGATCGTGTAAGAAATACTGAGGTTCGTACACAGTGCGACATTACCGACATTGCGAAAAAAGTAGAAGAAAAGCCTGGGATAGTCATGTATCTAGAGCCAGTCAAAACCAACTTATTAAAATAGCCAGAGATAATAAACCATTTGGAAGACGTCTACCAGGCAGACCGCCGAAACGATGGGCTCAAAGCTGGATATCTACATCAACGGAACTTTAGGAAATTGCATCTTTCATTTCAATCTATTATTTCACTATCAAACAAATAACTATACACTTAATTAACTTAACCATTAACACAACGTTTTAACTACAAACTATTCATTTTTATAACTTCCATAATTTTTTTAAAAAAAAACTGTAATTGAACGACTAGCGTGTAGAAAAACAAGCAACTATGCTTATAATAAAGAAAAAGAAGAAGAAGAAGATAACAAGTCCGGGAGGGTATCACACAGTTAACATGATCATCTCTATTTTTGCTCGCTTTTATTCGCTACTGAATGATAATGGAGAATTCCAGTTTCTATGCAAACCGTACCCTCTATATAAAGAAGCCGATTTTTTCATAATTATAAGAAATTTAACAAAAATTGATTTAAATAAAACAATTGGATAGGTATTTATAAATTTTACTTACTTTTATCAGGCGGTGGCGGCATCGGTGGCGGGTTCAATCCTTGGCTATCAAAATCATCATCTGTAGCCTAAAATAAATAAAAATATAACAAAAATTAATTAAATTCCTGTGAAGAATTTATTGAAATTTACGATTTTATAAGATTTCATATTTTCGTGAATTAAACAGAAGCTTGTTAAATAAAATTGAATACAGAATGAATGCCATAGGTTAATGTGACGGAATATTCACAATACAATCTTGAAATTTTAATATTTTGTTTGAATTACTTTAAGTATATTGTGTTAATTCAAACAATATTTGTTTTATAATTCAAAAACTTACGACTCAGCTCTTTGGAAGTAAAGTTAGAATTACTAATGTTATAACATTATTACCATTTTATTATTTATGCCCAAAAATAATAGTGGGCAATTCTTAAAACATATTTTACAAGAAACAAAAAATCAGTAGTAAATTGATTTTCATTAACCTGAAAAATGTAAATGAAATTTATCGTGAAAGCAGAGTTTCTAAGACGCATTGCTTTGATACAATACAATATTTAAGAAGAAAATTGTTATTACCATGTGTTCACTTTCATATAACTTTTAAATATAATCTTAGCAACTTCAAAATAATCATAAATGCAAGTATTATAAGGAAACTCTTGTTTATTGAATATTTCATTTCAAATTTCAGTTAATAAATTTATTTATTTTACCTATATAATATATTAAAAGTAATTCTGATTCAAAAGCAGCACTCTATAATATTATGTATATAGATATAGTATAGGGTCTAGAGAACCATTTACAAAACATTACATTTTTACAATAATAATATGTACATTATATTATTATTATTATATTGTGAGAACCTATTATACATATACACTCTATTCATGATTGTTATACACAGTGTTATCTCACTATATAAAATTGTAAGAAAATATCAAAAGAATATCTAGAAAATTGTTACGATACCTTTGCTATTCACTTAAGAATTTACACAAGTACAAAATTTATTCTTACGAGTATATACATACATACATATTTATTTGTAAAGGTCATCTAACAAGAATTACATACCATTAAAAAGGAACAAAAAATGAAATTTGTATCAAAACAATTTTTTGTAAAGTAGCTCATTTACATTGAATGAGTTTAAACTACTCCTTAATACCTTGTTGTCATACACATTAAGCATTTTCATATATGAAAATTATTGCATACATTTAGGATGAGAAGAGCGCAGAAAACCGTAACAGTGGAATTATACAGTTAATTCAAGCGTTTGACATTTAATAATATTTTCCGATAAGAAAACATTTTACTTTGTTAACTTACTTTGGCAGAAATTAAGTAAGCATTATATTTCTGAAACACTTCGTTGCCGGAATGGGAATTTTATTTATTTTAAGAGACGAATTTAATTCGGGAAAGCGTTTGAGCGTTGAAGGAAAAAATCGTAATTTATTAATTGCCCTTGGTCCCTCAGAACTTTCACAGCTTCACCTCTAAGAGAAAAATTTGAAAGTAACAGGTTTTAGATAACGGTTTACTTCTACTGCTATTTTTCCATTCTAATATTTGCTCATTTTATTTATTAACGCCATTTCGCAACAAATTTCCTTGATTTTATGTGGTTGTAACGTTTATAAATTTTCTTGCACTGAAATTGGTTTCTTTGTAAAGAGAAGCATGGACGAACAGAATGAAATTAATAAACATATTGTTTTCTCAATTATATTTAAAATGCGCCAAGAAATAGCCTTCAACATTGTTATTGTTAATAAAAAATATGATTTTTCTTTTATTAACAAAAAAAAATAAAAAACAGAAAACAATATCTAATATAATAGCCTAAGAGAATAAGAAAAAATATTTTATAACGAATTGAATTTCTGACTTTAACAAGAAAATAACTTGTTAAACATTATATAGATACTTGCTTTTCAGCTTCCTTACAACTGAATAACTTGAAAATAAATTCTAATATTTTACATTACGTATTCTTCTCTTATACACAGCTTATGTACTTATAATCAAGTATATAGAATGCATAAAAATAATTTTACATTGAGAAAAATTCAGTAAATTATGAAGAAATTCGCGTTTGCGAATTGAAAATATTCTTAAAACTTAGACTGCGTTTAGTTTTCGCAGTCGTACGGTTCATATTCGTAAATACCTTTTGCATGAACATATACGCGTGCATATAATTATGTATGTATATATTGAATCCATAAATTTATTCTGTTAGTAAAAATCCTCTCAGACTCCCAGAGGAAATTATAAGGAAATATTATTTCACATTTAAAAAGAAAAGAAAAAGTATGAAGAATAATGCTTCCTTCCATCGCATATGTGATTTTGAATATAAAATCGTGGAAATGCAAACAATAAAATTATGATCTAACAAAAGAACTATTGCTTGTGTAAAGAACCATTTTTGTATTTCAAGGAAATCGGTTGGTTATTTCTCTTTACATATGTGCAAAAATGTAAATTTGGCCCGTAGTGAAAGTGCAGTTGCTGAAACCTTATTTATTTCAAAAATTATGTGATAACGAATCACTGTCAAGCGAAGGTTATATTTAGAATTTCAAGTTAATTGATTGAATACTTCTTAAAAATAATAAAAAATGTAAAATTGGCCTGTAAAAAAATCTAGTTGCCAGGTCATAATATACCCCTAAAAATGATCAAACCATCTGTTCTGAAGATACTCATTTGCACAGAAAAACTGACAAATAGGCAGACAAGCAGGCAGATAAACACACTGCCAGATAGATAAACAGACAAATAGATAGATCTCTCTAAAAAAACAGTTTATTAACACTTCCCTAGTATAGAGAAACGCATTCCGCTGAAAACTCCATATGTGAAATTCGGCTTACCATTATGCTTTAATTTCTGGCTTTACATTTATATATTATATATGTATACCAGAATATTGGAACGTAAAATATTCCACACATTTTCACAAAAAATTAATCTCTCGTTGGATTTACGATATAACTTTATTAAAATAACATGTATGGAAAATAATTTGAAAAAATTGGACAATTTCCGGCGCTTAGTATTTAAATTCAGATAGATAAATGACATGGCATCACCACAATCATAGATATTACACTAAATAACAAATCAAAAATCTAAAAATACCATAATTTTGTTTTTCGCAAATTCTCAATAAACTGTGTAGTCTATTTTAAGCCTTAATAATGGTCACTTATTCAATTAAATTAAATATTTTCAATGTCCATAATTTAAAAATAAAAGTATTTAAAAAAGCCCCCCAAAAATTATATTGTACGTCTGATATTTCCCAAAAATATAGGAGAGAATAAAAAAAAAAACAAAAACTTATTAAGATTGACATATTTGTGACTACATCCTTTATCATGAATCTCTGATCATCGTCATCAAATCATTTGAATTGAATTTGATCAAGATTGATTTTGACTTGAAGTCAATTGAGAGTTGACTTGTTGTGGGATATTTTTTGTTTCATTTTCCTGTATTTTTTATATTTTTCGTATACATGAAAGAATTTTCCAATATTTTCCTCAAATTACACACATAACATACATACAATAAAATATAGGATTAATTTTACGCAATAAAATTTGTTATAAAATGGTATATGAAATGATTGAAAATTTTCAAATTAAATATTTGACCCTAATAAAAAAAAATTTTACAAATTAAAATGTAAATTTTCGTAAAGAAAACATTTTAATATTTTTTTAAGGATTAGGATAATCCATATATGAAAAAAATATACCTACATGTGCATGGATTATGTAAATTAAGAATAATATTATATTAAAAATATTTTGATATTAAAAAATTAATCGGATTGTGATAGTTTCGAACTTTATTACTAAAATATTTAATTTTTTTTTTTTTTTGTAAAAAAAATAGTATGATATTGACAAAATAGAAATAAACTGTATATAAAAAAGATATATTGGAAAATATGGCATATGTGGCTGTGATGCTTCGTGAGGAGGACACTTGCAAACTTATCACGAGTGAGGAACTCTGCGGTGACAGAGTGGACTACCTTTTCCTACGCTATTCGTGGATGAAAACAAAAGTAAAGCAAAAAAAACGTAAACACAAAACATAAATAAATAAAACGAGAACGTCAATTACTCAGAACAAAACGAAATTGCAAGACGAATGAAGAACAACCATTGCAACGACTGTAGCATGGAAAAGAAAACGAGGAGAGTCGAAGCAAATCACATCTGCGGAAGGTGGCAATGCCAAGGAAGGAGGCATCGAAACTCCTTTGTACGGGTAAAAGGCAGCAATGAAGGAAGGGGTTGTAGGAAACAGCTCTTCCTACCTCCTTTAGGATAACTGAGAGGCATAAATCATCCTAAACAACGGGGATAGATTGCGGCTAGTGTTCAGATCTCAGGTGATACCGTCATCTGTACGAATAGAAAAAAACCCTTAGACAAGCTACGAAAATTGCACACATCACAAGATGAAAATTGTCAAAATAAGCATGAATAACAAAGACTGGAAGAGCCTATCAATTTGAGGCATTCATTTCGAATCGGCGATGAAATTCATTTAATGTGCTGCTAAGGAGACGCCAAGGAAGCTGGAACATCTGCGCACAATCTACGTGAGCGGAGCGGCTGTGGAGAGAAAATCTGAGGTCAAATACGTAGGAGTGGTATTTGATTCCAAGCTTTTTTGGCGAAGTCACGAGGAAGCTGTGTGTACACGGGCAACTCCGGAGCCCTTCTGCGGGATCGGACCACATACTATTCGTTGGGAATTAAGGAAGGAATCAGAAAGAAGGCGGTCGGAGTGCTGGAAAAGTCTCCAGGGCTGCAGCAAGCCAAGGAGCTCCTTGGACATTACGACCAGAAGCGATTTAAGAAAATTATAGGGATGAGCAAGAATCAGGTGAGAGTTCTCACCGGCATTTTGACGGGTCACTGCGGACTTAGGGGAGTCGGCTGGGCCGGGAAAATGAGGATACTTGCAGATTCTGTGGGGGAGTATGGAGAGACCTCGGTGCACCTCCTGGTGAAGTGTGATGCTCTTGCTTATAGGA